TGAACGCCCTCGGACCACTTCAGTCAAGAAGGTTTCCACCTCATTTTAAACCCAAAGCCTGAGAAGTGAGGGGACACTTGAGTGGCACATCTACTGATAAAGGTACTGCCAAGGTACTGCATGAGTGTCTCTGGGGCATTCTGGCCAGAGGGGCCAGCGGTGCAGGGATGGAGGGCTCGGCAGGGACTGCTCAGCCGCTCATATCAGCACTCTTACACAGAGGGCTCACTCCCTCCAGCATGCTGCAGTACTTCACCGTGGACAGAATTGTACCATGTTGTGTTACAAACTGTAAATAGTTGTATTATAGCCTGGTTCGTACATACAGAAGCCGTAGTGACCTTTGGTATGGGTTTGGGACAGGTGTGTTCTCGGCAGCGAGGCAGGTCAGGCACAGAGACGCTGTGGGTAGTCTCGTGTTGTAATCCAGGGCATTAAATGATTCCAGCCTGCTCCAATCCACGCCTTGCTGGACTCCTCTCTTTCTATAGTGCCTTTTGTAGATACAGCTAAACACACATCATGCAATACAACGAACAAAACCGTGTCAAAGGTGGTGTTTTGTTGTTTTTGTTTTTTTCCAAAGTGCAACTGACTGTGTAAAGCTTTTTTTTTAAAGGAAAAAAAAAAAAAAAGAAATCCAAGATTAGCTACAAACTGTTGCCTATTGAAAAATGCAAGAGCATTTTCAGCTTTGATCTAACGGTAGGTTAATACAATCAACTTGTGTTTGAGCCAGGCTTCTCAGCAACAAGTGGCAGGAGGGGGAAAGGAGCCGTTGCCGTGTGCCCTGTATGCTGTAGCCAATTTACATGTTGGTTTTTTGCCTCTTCCGTTACTGATGCTCTTCAACGTTGTTTAAATAACTGTACTATATTTTGTGAAAAGCTGAACAAATTTTATTCAAAGAGAAGTATTGAGATTAGTTATCTATGAGGACAAAAAAAGTGTGTGGTGTTTTCTTTGCTTCTGCTAGAATATTAATTACCATAAAAACTTAACTGTGGGGAGGGACAGGGAGGCATGTGCTGGAGGGCTGTGTGGGGCTCTTATCACAAGGGATCGTGGGGGACTGGTGAGGAAACTACACTTGCATGGTGCAGGAATAGCATGGTCTGTGTGCACGAACCCCACGGGGTGCTGCCCTCGGAATGGGGGGTGTCACATACCCGCGCCCTCACCGCTGGCATGCCACGGCCCACCACGGTGCTGCACGTCCCAGCCCGGGTGCAGCAGCCTGGCTCTGCACTGAACTGGGTTTAATCCTCAGGGGCTGCCGTTGCTGCTGGCTGGTGCCCGTGACCTCGCTTGCTAGCGTGTTTCCTTGACAGGCCAAAGTCACACCTCGCTGGTAGAAGAGGGTTAACTATCAACTTTTATTGGTGTTCTGCAGTTTGCACAGTATCAGTCCCTCGCCCTGTGCTGAGATCAGGCCCTGAGTAGGTGCCCTTTGATACTTTTCAGGCCAAGCAGATGACAGCTCTTAGCCAAGGGGGATGCTGCACGCCGATCTGAGCATCCATGTTGCCATCTGCTGTGCCCTCTCTCGTGTTGCGAGGAGCACTGTAGGAAGGACAGCAAGGGGTTAAGGCTGGCTTCGTGGTGACTAATGGTGCAGGACTCTGCTATCTAGTTAGGTGTGTAGGCACACACTAGGTCCCACTAGATAGGATCTCTTACCTGGAAGCAGCATTCCAGCACCCAACGATAAACCTGACAGCCACACAGACTGACTCACCCGATTCCTCAGTGCTGGCTGATCTGCCCTCCCCGTGCTCAAGTGCAGGCAAAACACACTGTCAGGGGCTGATCCTATCGCACGCAGGGCAACTGTTTTGGGCTGTGGAGGGGGATGTGCACCATCTCAGCACGAGGTTCTTACTGAGGAACTGCAGACACTGACCGCCTGCCTCCAGAAGTAACTCCAGCACTTTGCTGGCAGCCTTGTTGTCATCCTCGCATCCCAGGAAGCCACTGTGTCCTCAGTAAATAGGAGTTTGGCAGAGCTGCCATCCGCTGCCTACCTTGAGCCACCGTTTTGGAGCAAGGGAAGGGCCATTACTGCAGGCAACCGTTTGCATATCACCTGCAGGACTCTCTTCCTGTGAGCACACGTGTGGTCGTGCACAGCCCAGCCTAATGCTTGTGCTGGTGTGTTGCTCTTGTGCTCTCCGTGTCCCATCTGGTCAATTTAGGCCATCCTCGAGGCAGTCACTGGCTTCCTTGGTGTTAAACAGTGCAAATAATACACCACAATTTCAGGCTGGGTGGCATGGAGAATGACAGTGTCTGACAGCATGGGGACCATGTGGCTTCTCAAATATGACAGAGCAGAAGCCAAAGTGGTTGTTTCACCTAAAACATGCCTTGTCTGCAAAGTAAGCCCGAAATTTCTAATCCTATGATGACAAACAAGCCCATGTTCAGCCAGTTAAATGCTCTTTCTCTAGGTGGTCAACTGGGGGCGGGGGTGTGTGTGTAGCAGGGGGTGGTGGTGTAAGGGCACTACAGTCACTTTGGCAGCACCCTGTAATTCACTGTATATTGTCAAATAACTTATTTGGTGCAAGTGTAGTTTTCCCAGATAACATTACAGAAAATCATGCCTACATAATGCTACTGCACTATTGTGCTATGAGAAATACCAGTGCAGGACAGGGGCAGCAGCCTGCTTCGTACTGAGCTCTGAACACACCGGCTCACCCTGCCCCACGCACGCCTGCCAAGCCCCTGTGCAAGCTCTTGCCTCAATTGCTCTTCTGTCCTCTTCTACTTGCTCAGGTGATGCTTGACGCCTATGCTCTTATCCAGAAGCAATGGTCTTGACATTTATTCCATCGCTGAAGTGCCTGTCCTCTTAACTGCCAAACCCACACTGAAGTAGCTCTCATAAAATTCCCTTAGAAACAAAATACACAGTCCCGTACACAAAGGGAAAGGGCTGCTGAAGCCCAAGGGCATCACGTAGCCCACAAACACATCCATGACTTGCTGCCCCTGCTGACCGCTACCATACAATGCTCTTGTTATTCTTGCTGGTGCTCACATTATTCTTGCTGGGCCATAACATAGCTATTGTCTCTGCAAACAGTATTTACTGCCAGCTGGGGGTTGCTGCCCTGGAACTGAATGCAGGCAGAGGTCACCTCAACATAGATTAAATATTATTCAGCTGTTGGGTTAAGAGAAACAAGGTACATCATTGATCCTGTAGCTGGTTGCTCTTCCCTGGGAGCAGAGGTAACAATCTCTGCAATTCCTGTATTCTAACTATGTTTGTGTTTCTTTTGCCTTTTTGAGAAATGTGCTGCCAACACGTGGCAAAGTTACAGGGTATCCCCCCTCCCTCAGTTCATCTTCCAGCAGAACCACCTAAATGCAATTCCTTCTGAAACGCTATCGCTGCTCATCCCTTCAAAAGGCAGCTGTATGGTTTACTTTTTATTGTTTACCTAAGAAATCCACTAGTTGTGTTTTCCAGAATCTAACAACTCTTTTACCAGGACCATTTTAACCAGAAAGTTAAATGGAATTGCTGTTTTTCCTCTCTTAAGAAGCTGAGTTGTAGTTGAGCCCTGTTCAGTATCTGCTGAACAGAGCAAAATCCTACTGACAATGTGCTCTGGGCTATGCTACAGTAAAACCAGTTAAGGTGCGAGGCAAAATTAAGTTCGGAGCAGCAGTCTCCTGCAGGATATATTGCAGAAGCAGCTGTCAGCTCGAGTTGTCATTCATCTGCCATCCAGATCAGCAGGAAAAGCCTCCATCTCATTTGGCAAAAAAGGTAAATGCCCCAAGTTTCTGCTGAGCACCTCGCAGCTGAATGGCTGCACTTGCAGAAGCTGTGCGCCAGCCCGCAGAAAAGTGCATCCAGACAGATCCCACAAAGTTGAAGGCACCTGGCGGTGCTAAGGAAAAAAAAAAAAACTTGTTAGCAATTAGGTCACAAGTCAATCCAGGAGTTGGTCACTCGTAGCTTCCAATTTAGTGCTTCTCAAGGGAGGACTTAAAAACCAGCAAATCACCTCCAGAGAGAGACTGGCCCTACTTAAAGGCCATTTAAGTGCAAAGAAACTGTCAGTGAGTCGTTATTTGAGCAGCCTGAGTCAAATTCTAAATCCAAACGACATGTGGGAATAGGCAGCTACACAAGACTCTACCACGCCTTCAGCTGAAGCAGGCTGCCAGGGCCCTGCCCCATGCTGCCAACCAAGCGGCTCACAGTTGCCAAATGACCTCTGCTGCCGGCTCCCCAGACATTCACAAGTCGCTGTGATAAAATGAAGGCGAGGGGCTGGTATGGGGAACGGAAGGGCCTTAACACACACCACTGGGTTTTCTTCCTTCTTTTTTCAGACTTGAGAGAAGCTGCACAGCCCCAAATACTCATGAGGGGGAATGAAATCAGACAGCTGTACAGAACACACAATTCACCTTTAACTTTAATTAAAATAGAGTTTATTAGCTTTTCTTTTAATACAAACATGAGAAAGGAAAACCACCTGAAGATGTAGCGTTATTTTCAAAGTTGAACTGTGATCAATACCTGAAGTGCCAAGTTCCAAGGATTTGGGAGCCAGGGGCTGGCATATTTGCATACCACAAAAGGCTATACACATCATTTTAACAGTTGAGTGCAGCCAAACTGATGATGACACTCAGACAGCCCCACACTCTCAAAGGTATATGGACTTGCTATTCAGTGTAAGTGTCTGGGCCTTGGCTGGAAGAGGAGGTGCACAAAACCTGTGCCATTCGGAGGCAGATCTGCTCCTAGGACAAACCGCCTAGAATCTGTTTGGATCCAAGAAGGGAAGATACTACAAAGACTTGTAACAGGAAGAGTCTAATAATACTTATCCTGTTTAGAGTTCAGTTTCAGAGCCTGAAAGTAAGCTCTGTTCCAAAATCTCAGAAAGAGCAAAACCCAAGCCTCTAAAGCAGTTGCACAAGATAAAATTCACTTTGGAGGGCCGGGGGTGGGGGGGCAGGGAGGAAAGGGGGGTTTATAGAAAGCTTTTTGATAATTCTCAATTGAACACAATATTTTTCAATCTACCTTGTTAGGTAGTCCAGGATTCTCAAACTCATTACTGTCTCATTATGAATGTAAATCCCTCCCAGGCAACAAAAACCCAAGGAGAGCCAGATGGATGTACAATATCAGCTTTAGGAACTCCACTGTATATAGCACAAGAGATCTGCAGTAGAACTCAGAGAAGCAGTGCTGCACACATGCCATTCACCACTGGATTGCTACACTGTTTGGGATGGTGATGATGTTTCCAGACCAACTTTCTCATTCATTGCCTCAGAAAAATATACAGATTGCGTCTCTTCCAGAGCGATACAAGTATTAGAAAATGAGAGAAGCACCATAATTCACAAGAAATGCAGCATGGACCCTATACATTTTAACAATACATAAAACCATATCTCTGCCCCAGTCAAAACATTCAAAGTCTTTTGACAATCTCTACTGGAGTGAAGTTGTGGGTGCAGAGTTGGAATTCCTTCCTGCTCGGCAGCTTCTTGGTTATGAACAGATCACCAACAATAGCAGCTTTTAGTAGCCAAACCAGGGAAAAGCCGTCAACATGTGTCTATGCTACTGTTTTCAGCTCCAGAGTGGCTTTTATACTTTAAGAGAGTCCCATGTTTTGTTTTGTTTTTGTTAACACTGCATTGACCTGAAATACAAATGCAGCGAGACTCTGGATAACAGGGGAGAGAAGGGAAGAATGTTGTAACTATAGTCATGTGGTTAGTGTTTAAATTCTAAAATTTAAAACTACTTATTAAAAACCTCAAGAGTTCACAGCTATAGGCCTACATAGTAAGCAAACATCTGTGGGGGAGAGAAGGAGAGAAGTTTGTTTTTGCACCTCTGGATACATCAGAAGGAGGAAAGAGTTGATTTGACAAAGGTCTTGTCTTTTGCACCAAGTACACTCCTCAAGCTCTGGGCTCCCTCGGCTAGTTTACCCTCCTCTCCTTCTCTTGCTGGAAGACACCATCACCGCTGGCTTGTGTGCATGGAGTGGTGGTATTCCTCCAATTCATATGGACGCTGGTTCATGGTGCTGCACCTTTCTCTCTCCTCAGGAGAGGATGGCATTAGAACGGCGGATACCAACTAAGTTATCAGCACTGAAAGATCGTCTCATAGCAGCTTTTGACAAGTCTTTGTATTTGTCTTCACACAGCCGGGAGATAGCCTGGATACCACGTTCAGATACAAAATGGAAAGTACACATTAGAAAAGTCTAAACATTTCATGGAAGCTTTTACAAGTGTAATACCAACAAAGCAGGCACTCTGTAGCAGTGACGCTACCAGCTTTTTTTTCCTAGAATGAAAGTAGGTAAGAACTACTTTGGAGGGAAGATACTAAAGGGGTCTGTCCCCGTGCTAACAAGAACCCTGTCAGAAAGACAGACATAAGGAAGGTAAGTGGTTTCCATATACAAGTATTTTCATTCTTCTACCAATCTCACTATCTAATGAAAAACTTGGATCCATTTCAGACTTAAGAGTTTGTGGAAGTAATGTTCAAAATTGCACCTAGTAGCTAGGTCTGCTGCATGCAAAAATCTTATTTTAATGGTATAAAACCACACACAGCCATTTCTATGAGAGAAAAGGTTCAAACTGAAAAGGTTTCTGCACTCCCTCGGGCACCTTGCCCTTGGCCACTCGGTGCAAGTGAGCCTAGGAAATGAAGTTCTACTAGGACCTCACCTCCATTTTGCCTTTACCATCTCTACACCCTTGCCCGCAACGTGCTCTTCCCAGGATCACTCACATGATCAGGTTCCTGCAGAGGTCCGAGAAGGGAGGGCAGCCCACTGCTCGATGGCATGGCAATAGCCATGGCACTTAATACAGCTATTGAGTATCAGCACATGTGGACAACTTAGTATTTAACTGTTTTTTCACCTGTTTATTGGCTTGCCTCTGCTCTGCTTATCTAGCTAGTCAAGCAGCTTTTATTCTGATGCAGCTATTCTAGTAACAAGCCTCATTATTTAAATCTTAATAACACACGATTGTCCAGGAAACACTGTGTGTCCTCCCCTGCAAGGCCTATTTCTGATTGGAGCCTTCAGGCATTATCAATGCAAATAAATAAGTATACCTGTAATAAAGGGCTGAACTGAATTTCAGTCCTGAACATTTACTTCCATTAATAATTTACCACCTATCACCAGGTGAACTTTCAGAGTCCTGTGACCAGCTACAAGCCTACACCTTTCCTTTAAGGGAGCACCCATTCAGCACAGCCCAGTGTTCTGGAAGTTCAAAAGGTGAAAAACACTCTGAGCATGAATAAACTTCTAAGTGGATTTTAAAATAATTATTTACATTTATTTCTGCTGACCTTCTGGAGACATGCATTTGGCTCAAGAGTGGCATTCTTTGAGACACTGGCTGCATGAGCTCCTGGTGCAAGACCAGACAGACTCTCCATCCTGTTTAATGCTAGCACATCAATCATAAAGCAACCTGTGTTGACATATTTAGCCCCAGTCACCCGTATGGTGTAAATCAGTTTTCAGTCCCTGGAATACTAATTCACTGCTTCATACAGGCTCCTATCAACTGCTCGTGTGCTTCTAACCGAAAGGTAGAATTAAAAATTTTAGCAAATGGTTTGAATATTTACCACATTTTAGAATTAAAACCCCAAAGGTCCTATATACATGCATTAGTAAGTGCATTATGGCAAATCACATACTGTACTGAAAATTACTCTGGTTTTAAATACCAAGCCCCCAAATGCTAGCAAAGAAGAAACAAAACAGGCTCACAATCTGTAAATCATCCACTCATACCTGGGCACGGAGCAGTTCAGTAAACAATTTCCTGTGGAATATGAACTGCCCTACAACCACATTTACAATTAGTGACAGTGTTAGCTTAAAGTGCAAGTAACAAGGGTGAGACAAAGCAGAAGAGTTGCATTATTTAACTTTAAATAGAGGAATTCATAGGCATACCATACCTATCATTCCAAAGGACCAGGAGGGATCACATTTATTGCCAAAGTTCAGCCACTTCTGGGACGAAATAAGAAGACCTGGCACTTGGCAGAATTATTGGGGGTGGACAATAGAACAATATAAGCCAAGAATACTGTAGCACACCCCTCTTTGAAAGGGACTGTGGTATCAGTGTATGCAGGGTCTGCGGTAATGCCTTTGTTAAAGGGTCAACAAAACAACATGCAGAGTCATCAATTAAACCTGGACAGATGAAAGGTTGCATTGATCCAACAAGAAATTTTGCCTGGGAACCCAGGTAATTTAGATATTTTCAAAATATCTTGCGTATCTCCAGCAACTAGGAAGACTGACTCTGCAAAAGTTGAGGGTTTTTAAAAATTAGCCTTCCTACCAAAGAAGGCTGCAGGGACTCACAGAAGGGCAGCCTTTCCCATTGGGCAGAAGGGGGGCAGAAGGGGCCAGTAATCTGTATTTACACTCCTCTGGACATTCTGAAGGACTCCTAATAAGCAGCTATTCCAAAAGTTTATCTTAAAGCAACATTTCTTTGGAAAGGTGAGGTTCTAAAAGTTGTGAAAAGAAACATATTATTATTTCTGCAACTTTCCCCAGACAAATGGTTTATTAAACCATGAGAGCAGTAAGAGTGCTGCCTCTAAATCTAAAAGCAGCTGTGCAGTGGGATGCAGTGGGAAACCTTCAGCTGGTAGTATTTAGAAAGGTCTGAGTGTGACTGTCTCTAGGTGCTTGGAATACAGACTGCGACCAGGGAAGGACAGACAATCCATTACATATGACACTAATCCTTTCACTCTTAAGTAGCCTAGCTGAGCTACCGTTCCCAAAATAACATCCATTTTATTTTGTGATCTGCTAGACTTCCGTAATCTCTGTCCCTTCCTTGCCTCAGAATACTAGCTTAGCCTAGGCATGGTTTTAGAAGTGCTAACTGTAGTTATAAAGGGGTTAAATTAGCCTGTAATACACTAATCTAAAAGCTTTTTAGTTTTTCTAACCACCACTTAACATGATTAGCAACAGATGCTCTTACTACACATACAGACAGAGTGCCCTGCTCAGCCAATCTCAGACCATTACCTCCAGTTTCTGTGCTCGCTCTTTACTGAGAGGCTCCAGCAGAAAGCTCAGGTTATTGTCATCTGCTAGGGAGCGAAGATCGAAGTAGTATTTGGCGTAAACACTGGCAGGAACATTGATATTAAACTGCAGTAGCTCCAAGAAGTGTCTTTCCATCTCATTCCTAAGAGGTGTAAGGGACAGAAGACAAAGGAAAAAAAAGATTGGTTTAGCTGGCTGAAAACACTGAAGAGACCTCAAGCTTGTTTTTAAAACCAGCAACTTTGAAATAGTCATCGAGAGCTCTGCATTATTGGTTTTGAGAGACAGGTCATTCACTAGTGCTCAAAACAAGGTGCAGCTTTTGAGCCCTGGCACCTCCGGCTCAGAGAGAAAGGTAGTGCCCTGTCGTGCACTCGCTCGGCTGACCGGGGAGGTTCATTCTTTGGAGTTCCATTAGTGCAGCTGTACAATTCATGCGCCATTCTCACTCTCGCACGGCCCCACACTATAGTGATCAGATGAAAGGAATGATGTATGCTGTTTATTAGCTCTGAAGAACTTGCAGACATTTTCACCAGGCTGATAACAGGAAGGGGGTTTATTGAAGTAGAGGCGGACTAACAAAAGGAGTAGGCAGATCACCACGGCAACAAATGGATCTATGAAGAGCTGCTGCTATTATCTCACAGAAAAAAGCCTCTTGAAGCAACATGGATTCATCTTCAATAAATAAATAAATAAGCAGCATTAGGTGGGAGAAGGAATTTTCTCCTCAATAGCATTAGGCAGGGTAACAAAGTACTATGTCAAAGGGCACTGTCCAGTTTTTACTCACTCGTCTATTTTCACTGGGCAAAATATTTGGAGGAAAGTGGGAAGAGCGCCATGACATGAAAAAGGCTGCTTCAGCTACTGTACCCTGGTCAGCTAAATCAGAGGTGTTCTACAGAAGAAAAACAATGTTTTACAAATTAACCTAAAAGAAACTGGTGGTACCCAAACCAAGCAATTTGTTTCAACACTAACTCAACAATTGTTCCTACTGGTAGCAGACCTGTCTCAACAGAATTTAGCAGCTGCGTAGGCCAACTGTGAATACACCAGAAGATAAGTTGCACAAATTCAGTGCCAAGGCTGTTCTGGCTTTCTGGGAGCTTTCAAAATGGATGTTTTACCTATCAGAGGAGGGGAATTAAATCAAGGAATCATTCAGGTTGTGTCCTGTATTGGATGGCGGGTCTCAATATGAATAGCAGCTTTGTGCTTGTTTCTAGCATAGTGGACTTGAGTATCATTCAACCTAGTGCCAAAATTAATTTCCTGTTCATATGGTCATAAGCCTATAGAAATGTAAATCAGATAATGTTTTGATGATCAGCTGATCAGACCTTGATTTGCCCTGTGAATAAATGTTCTTCACTGCCCCTTTTGTACTCACTACACTAATACATTTTAATTGTGTAAAAATACAATTCTTCATTGGATTAACAAGTCTCTTAACAGTGGTTTAAAACCTAGGAAAGGATAATGCCCATGTGTTTTCTGTGCCTTATTTACAAATATAGGTAGCCAAAAGAATGAACAGCATGTGTCCCCTTACAAGCAATATTAGCAAGAGTAGCAGCTGCACAGTTAGTTTTTCAGTGATTATGGATTCACTCTCATCAAAGCAAGCAAGTTTTGACAAAGGATGACTTCCAAATATCAATTTAATTTCCTTTGATTTTTTTCCCCCATTAGAAATAAGTAAAATAACAACAAAAAAACCCCACCCCCCAAAGCCCAAAAGTAAAACCCCTTTCAGTAAAAAAAACACCTTTGCTTTGGTCAAATAAGAAAGGGGTTGTGATAGAAAAAATAAGATTAACATTTTACCTATGTTGAGCAGGAAAAGGCTAAGGCAGATGAACTCATCTGCCAGTTGCGAAGCCTGGATCACATATCCTTTAACAAACTTTGACCCACTAGCAGTTTCTGTGAGAGCCGTGCAGCTTACACTGCTAACAGAGTTGTGAGGTTGGGCTGCCAAACAAGTGTCTTTAAGCAGTAAGGAGAGTGTGTTTGGTGGCGATGAGGTGCAGCTACGCTGCCTTCAGGAGAGGTGCCTGGCTTGTACACATACGCACACATGCACACACACACAGATTTGCAAACTGGGTGAACTAAACCAGATATAAACCCTTTTGCCAGTTCCAGAGTGGTGTAACTCCCATGCTTGGCTTGCAGTGGCTCAACAAGAGTATCCATCAGGTTAGTGAGATCATTCTACATATGTAGAGCCAAGAGGAAAATTCACAAAAAGTTGACAAACAATACCTGGCAGAGTCCTGCCAAGCAATCTTTAGCTGGGGAGCTGCTGGGGTTTTGGGTGGATTTTTTGGCAGCATCACCAGCTGTCTCCAACGTTAGAATGCGACCATGCCTGAAATCCGTTGCCAATTGTTTTCTCTCAGTAACGCTTGTATTCAGAATACCTAACACTCACCATCAAGTGACTAAAAAATACTGGAACTACTAAAGCTCACAATTAACTATAGTACCAACCATTAATTGAAAGTAGACTCATAAACTTAAAACCTAATTTTGCTGAGTATTTTAAGCAGTTTTCCAAGGTCCCAATTATGATGATGTTATCCAACTCAGGAGCAGTGAAGTCTGCCAAGCTGCAGCAGTGCGGGGCCTGGGATGGACACCCCTGGGCCACTGTCAGAAAGGGGTTGTACAGTTTCTGCCCATACATAAATTCAAAGGTCTGAGTCATTTCAAATGAGATGGGATTACAAAAATCCCATCTTCAAATTGGAGGAAAAAATAAGCCTAAATTCAGTCTATTTTCCTTACCACCATCACTGCTTTGAAAACTTAAGTACTGACAATTTCAGGAGACCCAACATCAGCAATAGAGAATAAACATCCTGCTTGTTACAGATATTTTCAGTGCTATCAATTTGATTTGTCCCAAACAGGGCCAGAAGAAGAGACATCAAAAGAGCACGATGTATGTGCTCCAGCACTCCTAGCACCGCTGACCCCGCTTCAGCCATCTCAGAGTTATTTGCAGCAATGCTTCAAGTACGTTCCTCAGACAGATGAGCACTCTAAGCCAGGTTGAGTGAAGATGCACATTGTATAAAATCACTAATTAGGCTTTCCTGAAAGCAGGGCTGGCATAGCCCTGCATTTGGAGACAAAGAACTCCCAGGCAAGGGGTATGTATAAAACAAGGTACTATGTTTTCAATATGAAATAACTTGAATAACAAAAACTGTTTTGGTGCAGGTAACTCACCCATTTTTGGAAATGCTTCCCCCTATCTAAAAGGAAGAAAATTGGATATTCCTCCTCCTAAAGAGTCCCAGATAAATAATTACTGTATTTTAAACATCAGCTTTAGGCTGAATCCAGGAAAGAGAGCTTGGGGCAAAACCAGACTCTCTCACACAGGTAGCCTCCCAGTGCTGTGTGCAAACCTCTACCACCTCAGTCTGCTCCTGTACTAGAACTGACTGTTACTACGCAGGCCTCAACACATGCTGAATTACAGCACAGCAGTGTGATAAAACCGAAACACACATAAAACATGTCATAAAGTTTATTAAGGCCAGAAAGCCTGATATTAAGTTAGCCTTCTAGCATTTCTACCACTGTGCTAATAAGGGAAATAGGGGAACAACCTGGCAAATAGAATTAAAACAAAGCTCTCAGATGGAACTTTGTGAGAAGGAATTTAACAGAAAATCTAATGGGCCAAATCCATGCCACATAAACATGCCTCCAGACCATAGTATGAGCTTGGAGCCACAAGGATGAACATCCTCTGAAACTGCAGAAATTGTAGGGCTTAAAGCTGAGTGCACCAAGAAAAGAAAGCAGATTCAAAATTTCTGAAAAACTGAAATCTGCATCTGAGACAAGAATATATGCAAGGAACAGCCTTACATAAACAAGCAGTAGTAAGATTGAGGATTTTGTTCCCAGCACTGTAGGCAAGTCTAAGAACTTACCCAAAGAGGATGAGCTGTGGCAGTAGCTGGGTGTAACACATGCAACCACAGATACCAACACAAATGACACCTGTCTGCCAGCAGCAATGGCTAGGAATTCAGACCTTGAGATACTTAGGCCTTAGCTGGATACAAGAGCAGACACATAAGTCACAAGTTATGGCTTACCCTGCAATTTTTCAAATTCTAAAACAGAAGGAACAAATTTAGTTCACTTTTTTTTTCCTTCCCCAAAAGACTTGTGATAAGACTATAAATTGGGCACTTTAGAGTTACACCAATACAAAAACTTAGTGGAAACAAGCAGCCAGTCCCATGGTTCATCACTGCGGGAAAGAAGGTAAAGAAAACTAACTTTGAAGTTACTCACCCAAGTCATTAGAAATATTAATACAGATTTGTCTCAAATTAGGGTTATCCAAAGATTCCTAGGTTAAAAAAAGGGAATGAGGCCAGACACCAGATATACATCATGTACATATACCATAGCACCAGACATGCGTTTTTTCAGTATGATCACAAAAATTGCCATTCCAAAAAAAAAACCCCAACCCCCCAAAAACACCACTGCAGATTAGCCAAACCTTGCAACTTACATGTCCTCAACAGTAATGTCCTTCAATATTTGGCAATAATCCACATTCCACACAGCCTGATCATCCCAGACTTTAGAAGCCAGCAGAATAGCTCCTAGGACTATCCTCTTCCAGTTACTAGGGCATATGTCAATCTCTGCATAGGTTAAAAGCCTTTCCAAATAAACCTATAAAAAGGAAGAAAAAAAAATTTTATGTGTGTAATTAAGACCTGGAGAGGAGTTCTGAGTAGCAAGCATGCCAGTCCAATATGATTATTTTATCCCATTATTGTTAAGTGTGTCAAAATAGGTGATTACCGCTTATACTTTAGAATCCAAACTTTCAGGACTTAGAGGTTCCATTTTTTATTATAACATAAGAATGGACCACCAAGGTGTACAATAAAGATACTGAAGAATCAGTTCTGAGCAATGAGCACTGCTGTTTCAGGGGGACACTGTTAGACCTCTTTCCGTCATCAAGTCACACAGTGACTGACAGGTTCTTATTAGGGCCTACCTGGGATAGTAAATCACTCTGCATCACACTAGCCTTTCATCACAGTTAAGGTTCAGAACTTGTAGCTTAACAGGAAGTGCTAAAACCTGCACTGTGATCTCCAGTCATGGGATGAAGATGCATTAATTGCTACCTTTCCACAATGAAAGGCATTAGAGTGCTATTTCTACCTCACCCTGTAAAGAACAGACTTCAATCCTTCACCTACAACAACACCATCCTCTGCTTTTATCTACATCACCAACTGCTTAGATAGTGAAAGATACCCGAGTCCATAGATCTTGGTCTTTTACTCATTCCTCCCATGTAATCTCAAATCAGCCCACAGATGTTGAATTGGTCCCTTCCTTAAAAGTTTTTTGCTATTTCACACTCCTATAATGATCCACATACTAAGTAATTTGCACTTTCAAATTTGAATATAGATTGGTTTTAATGTTCTTTTCCCTAAACTAAGACCAAGGTCCTAATGAAACCTCAGATAAACTAGTGGGTGCAGGAAGCTGTTTGTACAGGTCTAAGGGCAGGATCAATCTTCATTACTAGGGTCTCCCCACACTTTCTTCCCATCCTTTGCTTGTAGCCTTCAAGTGGACTAAAGGTGTTCTATAGTAACAGAGCCACCTAGTGGTAAAGTCGACTTTATAAATACTTCAGCTGGCTAGATTGCCTGGGGTGAGCCATCATCTTGTTCTGTCAAAATTGCTTGCATGTCTTTGGAAAAGCAAAAACCTCAAACTACTTTCAGAGTTTCAATAGCTCTAACTATATGGCCTTTTTAATTACTTATTTCCTTATTAAAGAAAGTCCTTCAAGCTGAGTTTGCTTAATTGCCACATTGTCTTTTGGTGACAGTTCTCTTCTCCTTTCAGACTCTTTTTCAGAAAGAAGCCACAATGAAGACTGAAGTCTAGGATGCAACAAAACACAGTTTAAGAGATTGTCTAATGCAGCAATTATATAGGTTGTGGTTTTTTCTTTCTCTTCAGAAACATATATGTACATGCATGCATGCATATACGTGTGTGTGTGTATAAATAATCAGTATCATCAATTTTTTTATATCCATCTTGCTTTCTGAAATCAAACAACAAACTGCAATGAGATTATTCTCTTACTATTGTTCTTAAGTTCCAAGTACCTCCATGTCACCTGGGGAAAAAAGTTGTAGCCTTTTCGGTTTAATTAAAAAAAAAAAAGTTTTATAGAAGGGTGGCAATGATTGAAGGACATAATAATGAGAAAGTTCATCTCTTGAAGTTCCTACAGTATTGATCCTCAACCTCTTAAGCAGTGTTACTTGCACTGTTCTGGTCAATATGAACTCTAAACTCCCTATTTCCCCTCCACATAACTGAAATAAAAGATGAAGTCTGTCTGATCTTACTATACCCCACCATTTACAATGTCCCACTGTTCTGCCTTTCTCAAGTTTCTTCAGCAAGTTATATATTACAAAACAAACAATGTTTGATTGGACAAGTAATTAACCATTACATATTGATATATAGAAAAGGTAAGTTCCTTTTTAGTTAACCACTTCTGTGACTACTGAGAAATCTTCTCTAATGAACTCACTTGTACAGTGTCTTCATTATTAACAAGGTTTTGTGAGACACTGTAACTATTTAAATGTCAGTTCAGCCCAGTTCACTTATTGAGGGGAGGAACAAAAACTCTTCCAAAAGCTTAAGTTTCAGTTATCAGGCATCTCTTACCAGTGTCACTATTGCACATTCAGCTGTCAGCTGTGCAGCACTGAAAAGTGTCCGAACAAAACGGTAGATGTGCTTGTGATCAGGGTCATGTTTGTAGTAGTCATCTGGAACTTCTTCCCGCTGAAAGAAAGTTCTCTGAATTACTGAAAATCTGTCTTACTTAATACTGACTTTAAAGAACAGCCACACATGGTTGTTTCTTCTCACCAAGTAGAAGTGTATACAACCCTTCCCTGTTACAGAGACAGAACAAAAATTATATACTGAAAGAAGCAAGCAGCCTTGCAATGTTACGACTATTCCAAACAAAACACAATAGCTTTGGCTGGTATCTTTGTTTTGAACACTTTTTTGATCTGTAAGGCTAACGGGAAAGAGCATGAACTACCATCATTATTACAGGTGCTAACTATTGTCCATGGAACATTTTACAGACTAAAAGAGATTTTTATTTAAAAAAAAAAAAAAAAAAAAAAAAAAAAATTTTCTCCCTGCAAGAAAATCACAGATATATACACACCAGGGAAGCACTGGCTCTTCAAAAGGCAAAACTAAGAGACTTCAAAAGATTCCCTTTCCAGCTGAGGAAGAGTTGAAGAACATATGTCAATAATTCTGTCACAGGTAGAACTGGAAGGTAACTTACGCTGTCTTCACAGGACTTGTTCTTGAGAGATTACAGAAAGACAACAAAGCTAATGAACAGCTACATTTAACTTTGACATGATGCTAAACTGTTTCTAAATACAGGGGAGAAGAAAAGCTTAGAAATAAACAGTCTGTAAAAGCAATTTAAAATGAATGAGAATTCTGACACTGTCCCCCCAGACATTCTGATATGCAGGACTCTTCCTGGAGGAATTAAACTTCAAGAGCTCCACCTCTACACACTGGTCCTGCAAGACTGATACTGAATTGCTTTCATCTACAGTACAAGTTAGACCAATAGTATGGCAAAGATACCAGATGAGAACAGCATAGCTGCTTGACATTAAACAGGTCATAAGGTAAGCAAAGCAGCAAGCATTTTCTTGTGGTTTTGTAGTTTAAAATAGCCAGGTAACAGTGTCAAGTAAAATGAAGAGGTAAGTTAACTTTGTATGCTCCACGCAGCCTTCTAATACACCACTAACTGATGGAGGTTACCCCTTCAAGGTGGGCATGCAACATTAGGAATAACACGAGCAGGATCCTCCTTGCATGATTCCTGTGCTACGAGCAGTACAAAAGCACATCTGGAAGTACATTTTTGCTGACTGGAAGAACTGAGGAGGAACGGACTGAGACTGGTATTTTTGACTAAGTCCTGTGATGCTGGTAACTTGAAGTTTGTTACTTCTCCTATTAGGGTCAACAGAGCCTGGATTTGGACTCCTTGTCACTGAATCTTTAGAGGACAAGGTGTTCAGAGACTTCTTCCAGCTAATAAATCTTTTTAAAGGAACTGTAGGTATCCAGCCAAAACCCCAATGCTATAGAAACTAACAAGCCATTTGCATCTTTCCCCTCAGAAATATGACATACGGCCATTACTATATTTCTGCCTGTATACTGCAGTAACATAGAAGAGACCTTTAAGTGTTCCCTAAAGGACACAATGATTTTCCTCTATTCATACTCATTAAATAGGAGGTAGGCTATATGAAAGGATCAGAAGATGTCAGGTTGCTAAATAAAGAAAAGAAATTGTCTGATGAAGTGCTGTTCATCTTAAATAATTTTCAATGTGAAACAACAGATTCAGGCAGTTAAAAGTTTTGGACCAGACCTTTCTCTTGAAGTGCCACAGTCCATACAAGAAATCTTTTATATAGCTCTTCTCCTGAAGTTCATTATTTTTGTTGAGTAAAGAGTTGTCTTTATTCAAGTGCACAATTCCTTGCACAATGGGTCATGTTTAGGGATGAAACTCTAACAAAATATTTAATTGTATATTATAAACTGTTTATTAACAAGCCAAATCCGTGAGATAGATTAAGCTGCATTCACTCAGGTAAGTCCCAGAGCAAACTGAATTTTTAAAGCCACTAGAGCTTTGCTAAATTAATTTCAAATGAAAAACAAAGGAAGTCATTCTGTAGGACAGTCATTAAGCTAGTAGTGCTCAAACTGGACATAAAAAGCACACACTCCACTTCTGAGCTTGCCTGTAGTATGAGGTTTTGCATCTTAAAGATTGTCTAAAAAGGTGTACCAGGACTAGTCACATTAAAATCACATGCTGAATGCTCCTAGCCGTTACTGCAAGCTGCATTAAGCGTATTTGCTTTAAAGTTTTGCCTTTCACGTTTTTTAAAGACCAAACTCAACATCTCCTACTTTGTGTGATGCTTCATGTATTATGTTCTTCTGTTTGCAGTAATTTAAAAGGTTAGGCACATATCTACTACCCGTGTCTTCTTAAACAAATAGGAAAGACTTTTAATTAAAGTAGCATTAAAGAGGGGAAGAAAGGAGTCAGACAAGAAAGTTTGGACATGCAAGAATCAGCGCAAGCTTGCTTTCTCTTCATATTCAAAGCATCGGAAACTAAACAAACTTTGCAACATTTAGAAGCACTGGGTTCTGTTCATGATCTAGCTGATACCAGAAGTCCAGAGGACAATGTTTGCACTGTATTTTATATATAAACATACAATTTAAGATCAATTTGCTTGTGACCTGGTGCTAAGACATTTTTATGACTTACACAAATCGAGATGTTAAAAAAAAAAAAAAGTAAATTGATACACATTCAGAGGATCAAAAAGTTACACTTACTGTGAGAGGATGAGATTTTTCATCAAAAATATCCAATGATCTGTCGGAATCTCTACAAAGTAAAAATCTCTGTTTTAGCAACAAGAGTTAATTGGTAATGCTATGCTCCACTAAAAAGTATTATTCATTAAAGAGGGTAAAGGGACATATTTTGTAGTTCAGCTTTTGCTAGAACATGGTAAGAAGTTATATTGTATTTTTGAAAAGCATTTAATGATAAGATGTTGAGTATGTATAATGATGAGCAGTTAAGAAGGTAAACAATGAATTGCCATCAGTGTTCTCATATTATGCTTGGTACAGTTCTCCCTTAAAATGTGAAACTGTCTCATTAATAGCATCTAATTAAAAAAGGCAGCTGTAATTTTGAAGCATACGCTGTAACTAGCTATAATGGCAAGGGTTATTTGTACATGGAACAGGGTGTTCCTTCACCCATCAAAACTAAACTGTACCTCTGTATTCAGGAAAAGCTAAACAAAGTCCAAAGGCTGATTTGTGGCAAGTTAAGTGTATTTTCCTCACTCCCTCCGTTTTTGCCTTTTTACGCTTCATTCTCAATGAAGCATGTATCATTGGATGGGTGTATTACTGACCCTTCCGTATCAGCTCAAGAGCGTGTACAAAGAGAAAGCAGATACAGCATAAAGTGCCAGATTTTTCAACTCCTTTAAGTTATACTACTTGTTACTGAAGTGACCAAGACCATATTGCTGGCTCAGAAAGAAAGTTGTTACATTTCAGCAAAAAAAAAGAAAAGTTCACTCACCTGTTCTTTATATGGTAGAATATTGCTAATGTTACACTAAAAAAGAGAAAGAAAAAAACTTAACAAAGCATATTCTGCGCACACTATTCCACTGCAAAAGCTGTTTTTCAGGGCAAAATGTTCAGAATCCATTATGTATTGGCTTCCTCTCACATTCTTGAGTACTCTGTGTCTCATTTCTGATGTTTACCTGCCTGAACAGAAACTGGCCAAATCAAATTTGCTACCCAAACTACTTTTACATTCATTGTACAGATATTTGTGCCATGAAATAAACGTTTGCCACATTTTAAACACACACTTTTATTGACTGATTAGGTGACATTTATTGAAAATGTGGACTATTCACAACTAAAATATAATAAAAGTTCACTTGATGTTACATATACTGTCATAGAGATTCTGCTGATGTTTTAACTCTGTCTCTCTGGCTGTCTAATTTAGGACCTGCCTAAAAAAAAGAGAATAATAAAGATGATAATCCAAGCATAATCCAAGAAGGGGACAAGAACAGATCTCAGTCTCTGCTGAGTCAAGTAAGGCAACAGATTTCATATTGACACTCATCTACTGTGGCCAAATTTCAGATACTTTGCTGGCTGTAACAACAGGAACACTGCCATGCCAGGAATCCATCATGGGCAAGTTCTGATCTGTTGCCAGCTGTATAGCACTTCAAAATGGCACAAGCACCATCTTTTAGGTTCTTTCTTCTTTAGAAAAGGAGTTACATGCTAGATACCTTTGTTTGAAACCAAATTTTAAAGAGACAGATCAACTTAGACATTTCCAAACTCTACTAAACTGTTAAAAGAGTAAAGCCTTCTGGGCCTGAAGCTACTTTGCCATCCTTTCCCTTCAGGCACAGTAAAACTCTCTTCTCAATTCTCAGCTGGTATCACCTATGTGCAAAGAACTGTCTCTGTGGTACCCAGAACAATAGGTCAAACAGCCATTTCCACTGGAGAATCAAGAAGGCTAAATAATTATCAAACTCGCCTACCTAAAGTAACAAATATAAGAAGAAAAAGTAGTAAGGCTAGAGCTAAACCCAATGCCAGCAACGTACTGTTATTCACAACTAGAGGGCAGACTAATACCACTGGCAAGTAGCAAACAGTCCTGCAAACTCCCTGCAACTCTATAGAAAATCCATTTCAAGTTTTCCCAGATCGAGAGTTTCTGGATTTGGTTTTCAATGTGAAGCCTTTGAGCTCACCACCCCAACATGCACTTTTAAACCCAAAACGCTGACACACTTCTGCACTGCCTCAGATTCTCAAGTGCACAACAATAACTACTTTCAAATACAACAGTACATTAGCTCTGTAACTAAAAAAAAAAAGCTCACTTCAGCAGTCCTAATTAACCAGATCTCTACACCCCTTCCATGACCAACCTGAATAAGCAGCACTGTGCTCCTCTCATTCAAGTGTGTGACTGGCTTTAGAACAGACAAGACCACCACAAAATCTCAAATAAACCTTGCAATACTACTCAGCCCTTTGTCGATGACAAATGGTTCTTACCACTTTATTGTGCTTCTAAGGTTAGGTTGACTGACGGTGCTGTCATCTATAAATATTGTTGAGCATGAGCTGTATTTTTTCGTAAGCTGCCCAGGAGACACCTTAGTGGGAGGAAAAAAAAAAACCAACAGAAATACATTCAAGAAGAGGGATTCTGTAAACTTTGGTTTACCACACTGAATACTGCCTTTACACCTCAGGTAGTTACTGCAGAGGAGGTCTTTGTAGATGATTGTTCCTCCTATGTAAGCTAACCTATAGCCATCAAGTTCCTGAGGATACCCTTTGTGTAAGATAGACAGGTTTATAAATCATCCCTTGTAATATACAACATGATGTTTTTAGATAAGTAGTTTTCAGCAGAAACAGCTGCAGCTAAAGCAGCAAGTCCTCCGATTTTCTCAGTTCTCCTCATTCCATTCTTGCCAGTTTGGGTCTCAGTCTTCCCTCTGTATGATGTACTTTATTAGATTTCCCTGTGACTCCATAATCATCATCTTCCTTCTTTTATATCCTATACCTTTACATTTTCTGGTTATCCAGTACTGCTCCCTGTAAAGACAGTTTTGCATTTGGGGTTTTGTCTTGTATTTCAGAAAAAAGAAATCTCTTCATGACATTGCTCACTTCGCTCATGTCTTGTTTAGCGTCTGCAATCTGGAAATAAAGTATTACTATTACCCTTACTTTTACTATTTAGAGCTAGCAATATGTTTCATTATCTATCCTAATTCTGTAGATTTTATACTGTAAGAAATCTTCCTATATAACACTAAGTCAGGCTTCCCTGAGCATATTTAGAGAATGCCTTGCACTAGAGCTAGGACGTCGTAATTGAGGGAGGAGTTCTAATCAAGCAACTCAAGATTCATTAGTTTTTGCCAGAATCTTTTTAAATGCCTTGTCTAAAAACTTGAAAGTCTTCCATACGAAAATGTTGGCACCCTCCACAACTCAATGGCTGCCTGGGATGATCTCCCACTCCAGATGAAGTTTGCCAGCAAAAACAATCCAATCACACTTCACCTTAGTGCTCGCATACTAAAGCTGGAACTTTGTAATTGAAAAAGAAAAAAAAGAAAAGAAAAGAAAAAAGAACCACCCCCCATAATCATACTAAATACAACAGACTTGAAATATTATCTTACCAGTAACTTATCAGTAGACACTTTTGCTAGACGGTATTTTTTAAGCTTTGTGTTAGTAAATTCCATTCTTAGCTTTACTAGTCAATTTTTTATCCACTTATAAATGACATTGCATCTTTTTTGTATATTTTTTTTGCTAAGTGAAGTGTCAAAACCAACTAATATTTGCAGAAAAAGTTTAGAGCATGTTTTCAGTTTTTAAAACCAGTGGATTATCATTTGTTTATCATGCTGATGGTAATGTTTGTTCACCATTCTCTTTTCATGCTGGATACATTTCTTACAGTAAGTCCTGTAGTGATGCTCAAACAGCAAGTCATTTAAGACATCACCTCAGCTGAGAAATTAATCCAGTTTTATTTCTGTTTAAAAAAACCAATGTAGGCAGTTTGACTTATATTTTCTCCTATACTGTTCTGAAATGCTCAAGACTGATACAAAAATCCACTCTTATTCTTTTGACATCACGCATTCTATGCTCTGTGATACTGTGCCTGTTGGTTATTCTTTAAAGACAGGCAAAGATAAACCAGTTTTATCTTGCTAAGGAGGATTTGGAACACATGTAGGACTATATACCTAGAACTACTACAGTTGTTTCTTGAATTTGTCTTTGTCCCAATATGCTAATAGTATCTGTATAGCACACTAAGAATTTGTTTTACTTACATGATTGATGTGGTTACTCTTCCTCTTCTCTCGCACTAGAAAGAGGGAGAAAAAATGTGAACTGAAAGGTTTCTAAAATACAATCCCAATTTACGTTCAGTAAAGTCATTCTATTAACCTAGTCTTCTGAAGTACATGAGTATTAGAAGTTTCAAATTTGACTTCAGGTATCTGGAAAAGTAGTTTGAGGAAAAAATACTGAGTTTTATCAAGCTAGTAAACTAGCTACTTCCAACTATCCACATGTACATTTAGGAACTACTTCTACCCATTGCACTAACAGAAAAATGGCTCAGCTTTGAAAAGATGCTGTGCTTCATGAAAAACTGCATGACTTAATAGACAATGTCCAACATCCAACAGCAACCACTTAGTAACCAGAAGTAAAAACATCACACACTGAACCTGAAAGACACACAAGGAGGAAGTGAGGAGCCCAGCATTATACACTTGTTCTCTCTTCTACTATTAGACAGCAGAAGGTAAAAAGGTATTTCACAATACAGAAGATGCTGGCTCAAGCCATGCCTGTTTATCATACAACTGCAACCATGTTATTTTATAATTTTAAACTGTGTCAGCCTTTCAAAAAAGACTGTAAGGTTTAACTTCCAGCTATAACAGTAGCAGTAAAACAGTGCTGTTACAGGAGAGCTGAGAGTTGGGTACATGCAGAAAGCTATACAAACGTGACCAGTCTGGGCAGGTGACTTCTCCAAAGTTTTGACCTCAGACCACTTGTTCACAGGACACATTCTCTTACATATTTAGAAAAATTAACAACTGGAAGAAAGTATCCAAATTTTTTTTGTCTTTTTGCATAAATCAAAACTTACAATCCTAGTAGCATCTCAGTGAGAGAGAACTTACAGATATTAATTCTACTAGTTCTATGGAAGGTTAACTAGAAAATAAATTCTTCTGCTTGATTGTCCATAAAAATAATAAAAATCAATTCATCCAACTAATACAAACTTCAGAGAATAGTTTAATATTTATTACCTCACTAGCTGACCATTTTTCTACGTGAACACAACTGTATACATTTCAATACCTTACATTTGAAGAATACCACATCATGTTTAAAAGCAATACTACCCCCAATGAGGATGTTCATTTAGTTTGAACGTTATTTGCAGCAAGGCTGAAGGGCTGCACAGTGAATGAAGCTGCACTACAATGTTCAAGAACTATGTCAACTTGCTAATTGCAACTCAAGCAGTGCTTCTCTAAGAGGTGTTTGAAATATGCAGGTCAGATCCTCTGTCTGTCTGAAGACTGACCTTAGAGGCCTCCAGGAAAGAGGGCTACATTTCCTTGGTATCATCTCTTCTGGAGAATCATGCTAGTGCTTGTTTCCACTATTCACAGATTATCTGAGCATTGCAAAGTTGATGAAACTGACAATTTTACTGCTTGCCATAAGACTCTGAATAGCAGGACTGCAATTGACAGACCTGTCAAAATAATCCTACTTTTCTGTGGCAAAGCTATGCCAAGGTAGAAGACACACTGCAGCTTTCCATCAACACATCCAATCTCAAGTGCAACACAGTCTTAGAAAAAACAGTTCTTCAAACAAAAACCAACTACAAAAGGAACAGAATAATTTTTAGAAGAATATCTTAAACTCCTTTTTAGTTGCAACTTTATAATTTACTATTGTCAAAATTCTTTTTTATTTGTGCAATATTGGAACGCCTCCACTTTTTAACAGCATTTTGGAACGCACAAGCTATAGTAATTGTTCAAAACTGACTTTATTAAGTGAACAAGGGATCTGCAGATACATCCATGTAATTAAAACCAGGAGTCAAGAATAATTATACTACTGAAACTATTCAAACAGTTTAATACAACATATTCAAAACCAACTGATACAGACTGATGGCTTAGTCTTATTATTCCTTACAGAAAAACTATCCTTTAGTTCTTTATTATTATTTTCTAATTTAAAGCAATTTTTAAAACAGTCCTTGGTCATAAAAAAACCCCACCACTGCTTGAAGCTTGAATTACACTAGCAAAGAAAGCATTGCTCCTTCAGACTACTAGGATCCAGACTCTGAAATCTCCTGATGTTTAGAAGAACAAGTGATTTTAAGTGTTAAGTAAAAGAGCCTATGAACAGATTTCTGTGTAAACACGCAAATTATTAATCCCTGTGCTTTGAAAGAATTAAAGTAATTTAAATGTTCTCAAGCTGTATAATTAAAATAGGCAGTTATTTTTCCAGTTTTTCTCCCGCCTTTTTTTAAATTGGCAAAAACTTAGCTTACCATCTGTTTGAGACTTGCTTAGGAAAATTGTGCTTGCTCTGGGATGATCAGATGGATTAGATTCCAAGGCTAAATCTGAAACAGAAAGGACAAAAAAAAAAGGAGAGACCTTTAACAGAAGGTGATGATTACTGCAACAATTCCCACCCAGTCTTAAAATGCTCAAGCACAGTGATGGAGACAAGATCAGAAATACATAGAATGGGTTGTCTCTCTAAAGCAAAACCTTACTTTTGCCAAGATAAATAAAAATCTGACATTTTCCCCTCTGAGAAAAAGCCTGTGAACTTACTGCTACTGCCATGAAGGTATGAAGTAGCTTATGGTTTTCATCAAAACAAAATCTGGAAAGGGAGATCTCAGAAAACAACATACATCTTCAAAAGTCAGTATGCACCCCTGCATGTTAGGATAGCTGGATGTGGAGCCTGTGCTCCATAGAGGGCAGAAAGCTACAACTTTGAGAGCATAATTTAAAAAAAAAAAAAAAAAAAAAAAAAAAACCCTGGTGGTCTTTCACTCTTTCACTCTATGGTTTAAGTACCCAATAGGGCAGGAAACAATCTCTGTGGTCTTACAAAAGAACCCAGTAACTAACTTTTACAGTGCTGATAAATACCAAAACATGGATCTTACGCTATTCTATTCTTTTGGAATTTTAAGTAAAACCCTGTACAGCTAATATAGAATTACTGAAGAACAAAATGATTGCTTTAAGCCTTTGCCACAATGAACTAGCGATGACATTAGATGAGGATATGTTAAGATTGTTACTTAGATTAAGATGGGAGTAATCACCAAAAAGTTTGTTGATGAAACTGTAAACATCATGATGAAATTTTGAGCTGCATTAGTTTTGACAGAAGAAACAGCTGTTCCAAGGAAGTCAAGCTACAGACACACTGACTTTAACATACGAACAGAATAATCTAGTACTGTGATCCTGTACATCCTGGAAAGAGCAAATTCGTATCCATTTACATTTGTCATTCTGATCTTCCCGTGTGCTACTATGCCATGCTAACCATAAAAGCATGCGAGCTAGCAAACTTGCACGTTAGTGTTTCAAGGTGGTACGCCAATGCAGTTACCACACCCTTAAAAAACAAAGTCATCTAAGAATCAACATCAAATTTTAATGAAGAAAAAAAAAACCAAAAAACAACCTTAAGAGCTTTTTATGCCCTCAGACATCAGAACTCTGGTTAAATAGTAGCCAGAGTATGCACAAACTGTCTTGGTGCTGGAATTCTTAACAATCTGAATGTTTTGTGCTACTGCACCTAACCCACAGCACAGCCACAGCCCTCATGCGTCAGCAAGTGAATGTAATTGCAAAAGTACGTGTGTCCCCGAGACTTCTCATTCCAGATTCCCACTGGTACACAACACTGGTATCCAGACCTGGATGTTTTCCAAGTACTTGGCTTACAACATCACTGATCTTAGTCCAACAGTATTGCTCTGACACTGGTCCAGGATGCAGACCACTGTAATTTTCAATCTCTACTGTGTAAGTAAGGTGGCCAACGTCTATTTAGGAACACAAAGATTGTTCAGTCAGGAATTTGACACACACCCCCCCTCAAAAAAGGCCAGAATCAGCTATGAAAGCAGACCATCTCGAGCAGTTTTAGAAGCTAACTTACAAAACCAGTATTTCTATTTTCACCTTACTGTGCTCATTCATAGCACACACAGTGAACAGATACCTGAATTTAATCATATGGTTAAAATGTAAGAAGTCCTGGTTTAGAAGCCCTACAATGGAATTTGCCTTACAGCTCATACCCAAAGTACCACTAATACACATTTGATTCTCTGAAAAAAATTCCAGCACACAATAGTATGCCATATTGGCACATTTTAACTACTGTTTGTAACATCTCAACAAAATAGTGTAACTATTGTTTAAAATTTGTTCACAATGTTGACAAGTTTCCAACACTGATTTAGCAAAATTAATTTTAAGAGACAGTACAGAGACCAACTCTAGTTTCTAATGCTAGCAGTCTATTAAAAAAAAAACAAACCAACCACAAAACAACAAACTTTGACACAGACCAAGGAATTCACTAATAATGGCAAATATCAAACAACTTTTTAGATTTGAGAAAGGAGTGATTCAGAAATGGAAGTATTTTGCTAGTCTACCAAATAACTTAGAACTCATCAACAGGCAGAACAAGACTGCAATATGCTGGTTTAAAATACAGATTATTATTAGCAAGTTATGATGCAAACAGAGCAAACAACTCAAAATTTATTTATTTACAGTTCAGCAGCAACTTTTAGAATAACTGGGTAAGTCAGGTTAGAAAGGACCTCAGGAGGTCTCCAGTTCAACCTGTTGCTGAAAACAGGGTCAGCTATGAGGTAGAACTAGGCTACTCAAGGCTTTACCCAGTTGAGTCTTGAAAACCTCCAATGAGGGTCCACAGAGCCCAGGTCACCTTTCCCACTGAGGGGGACTAATGCCTACAGGGCTAAGGGACTCACTATGGAATGGTAGGGAAGAGCATGTAGGACTGTACAAGACTTGCATGATATTTAGGGGAAGGCAGCAAGGAAGATTGGGGAGGAACAAGCACAGCAAAACAGAGGGAAAAGGGCTACTGAATTCAGTAACTGCTAACACAGGGCTTTGTGTTTCTCCTTGTTGAATTTCACAGGGTTCCTGTTGGCCCAGTCCTTCAGCCTATCTAGGTCCATCTGAATGGGTAGCCTCCAGCATATTGACTGTTGCCCAGCTGGGTATCATCTGTGATTTGGGCGCACTTCACTGCCTCCTCCGGGTCACTGATAAATGTTAAACAGGACAGGTGCTTTTTTTTCCCAGGGATGAGAGAGTACTGGATAAAGCTCATCCTCCCTCACGCCATAAAAAAAATAAAATACACCAACATATTGACTTCCCTGAGGTTTTGATTTACTTTGAAACTACATGACTTGTTAAAGCTCACTTCTTATATTGTTCCTCCCTCATGTGCTCTGCTAGTCCCTATATCCATGCTTCTTAGATGTTAGAAATTGGGTCTAGGGCTAAAAGCACTACAAGAATTAAACACATGCAAGTATAACCAACTTTAATCCCAGACAAGAAGGGTCTAAGATCTGCAGCACTGCAGGATGTACCAAGGGACACAATATTGACATGGCCACACAAGACAAACTTTCTCCCCTGAACCCAAGCACACCCACACATTTGAGGAGATAAATGGCAGTGAAAGGAAAATAGACTTCACTGGCTTCAGTTCCACAGTGGCTCTGTCAGACACAAGATGCTTTCTGCTGGACAAAGTCAGGTGTATCAGCGCCCACAGCACATTAAATCCACAACACAGATAATACAACCAGAGCTACGGTACTAGTGAAGTCCAAGACACATTGTGCATCCCCTGGTACAAAACCCCACAAGTGATAGAGACCAACTGTAGCTAGGCTTCTTATCCCATAATAATGTGGCATTAGCAGAAACAGTGCATCTGCTTTTCTCTTGCAAGAAACTGTGAAGATGCATGTAGCAGACCCTCCCTGTAGCTTTCCCCTCCTAAGCAGCCACAGAATTTTAACTGTCCTGTGCTGTTCTCCTTGGACCATGCTTTCTTCCAAACAATGGAAAAATTAGTCATATGATTTGCTCTTCCTAAACTGTCAGTGTTGCTCATGAAATACCAAGAAGCAACAGCAATACAGCTTATGAAGGAAGCATAAGGCAAGAGGCAGATAAAGATATGAGAAGAGCTAAAATGTCATGGAAAACATGGCAAAAGAAAAGCCAGAGGAAGAGATTAATCTGTCTGCAAACAATTTGACTCATACTCAAGTGTGTAGCACTTATGAGTCCAAAATCAAGATATCTAGCCCTGAAAATAAGGGTAAGTCTTAATTAGGAGCTATATCAGAAGTTGTATGACAGAAAGCTCAAGCTTCACAGGAAGTTAACAGAAAAAGCAGCATGGTACACCACAGGAGGAACAGAAATAATGGGAATTAAAACATGCAGAAACAGGAATGACAGAAATGAGAGAAGCAACAGGATGATATAAAAAGTAAGAAAACAACTCCAAAACATTTTTGTTCTAGAGGCTCTCAACTCAACAGAAGTCAAAACACATTTTCTATCGGATCCTCACACCCAGCGATAAAGAGGTAAGAAGGCAAGATTCCCACGAGAAATTAAGTCTGTGGGAGCAGCACAGCAATGTAGCCACACTACAACAGCCCTCCAACTCTCTCTGAGAACTGCGAATTAAAAATAGCCTTCCCCCTTATTTCTCTGCATCCCTCAGTGCCATTTACTCACGTGGTACTACCAAGCTTGTCAGATCAACCTTGTTTCCAACTGGAGCACAGAGAAGCCTGAACTTGCTTCCCTCTCTCACCATTCTCATTTTAAAGAATCCCTTGCAGCTTGCTTGCCCTTCAGACAATCTCAGCTTCCTCTGCTGCTGCTGTGCGCTCCATGCGCTGATAAGAGCATACAGTCCCCCACAGGGCAGATCATATTACTTTTAAAAGCAAACCTCTGCCCCTAGCTCAAGATCTTATGTCCTTTCCTCAACACAAAATCCACATGAAGACTTTACTTTTACTCACCTATGCCATATAAGAAAGTGTGGGGGTTTTAGGAATTTATAATGCTAGCTACTTACCTACTGTTTTACACACCTCCATGGGTGATTTCTACCTATTAAGAACACATTTTGCACACTGCATCGTGCTACACGTATTATCTCATGAATAAAGCTGACAGTCACTGTTAAGTAGCAGCCTTTTGATGATTTCACTGTTAGAACACTAAAAATATTGCATTTCCTTTAACAGCCCCATCCTCTGCTTTACTAGACAGCAGTAACATTTTGATACAGCACATATTTAAAGCATTAAATCATAAAATCATCTCTTTGCTGTAAATTGAGTTTCTTCCCTTGCTCAGTGGGTTACTAGCTTTGATTAATGTTTGAGCTTCCCTTATATTTCATTACCTTACAGTGTGAAAGATGCAAGTTCCTTAGCACTCTCAATACACATTTAAAAATTAAAACAAATTAGACTAACAAATTTGCTAATACATTTCAGCAAGTCTGTTATTCCTAACAACAACTTCATATAAAATTATTTGTCCTTTAAATTATGTTATTTTATTTCTATTTCCAAAAACTTTCCTAAAAATTAAAATTCTGGTTTCTAAATTCAACCTGCTTTGTTAACTCCTCACCAGCCACACAGAACACACCACAGAACCCAGCGCAACCAGGTTGTTTTCCATTTGCCTTCTCCTGTTATGTCGTCAGTTACACACAGGTTAGTCTATCCTTTAAACGCTCCATGGGTGCCTTCTTCTCCAGATTTGGACAGAATGAAAGCACTCTGATCTCCTGATTATTCATCTTCAGTAGAATACATCTCTCTTCCATAATGGGATGGACTCAAAAGATACAAAACTTGCTCTGTTTTCATAACTAATACAAGCAAATTTGAATACATAAAGGACTGGATCTGTGTTTCAGAAGTGCTTTCAAACAATCAGTTCTCAGAAAGGAACTCTATTCTGAGGGAGAATCTTGGTGAAAACAATCTTAACCAACACTTGCATATGCATAGGTCCCTTAAAAACACTCCTAACTCCCCAGAGGGAATCAACTCTTTATTTAAAAAGGAAAACAACTAAAACCAACCCACACAGTTGGCGTTTGTTCACAGAAAGACAGAACCATTGAGGTTGGAAGACACCTCTTAAGATCACCTAAATCCAACTCCCTGCTCAAGCAGGGTCAGCAAGAGCAGTCTGTCCAGGACTGTGTCAGTCAGGTTTTGAATATCTCCACAGACAGGGACTTCACAACCTCTCCAGGCAACCTGTGCCAGTGTTTGACCACCCTCATTGTTAAATGATTATTTTTAAAGATTGTGACTTTACACAATACACACAGAAGGATGTTCTAAAGATATTTAAAATGTCAGTTGTTCTTTATGACACTACTATGAGAACAGCAATAGCATTACCAATACTCAGCCCACATCTAAGTGCATTGTGATGTTTTAGAAGGCTGCAGAAATTACTTCAGTGTACAACAAGCTCTCTTAATCAAGAAGGAATTATTTGCTCTTTTACACCACACTCCTGAGCTGGGCTGGTTCAACAAGAAACTGACACAGTAAGCATTTCAAATTTGCTACTAAAATTAGAAGAATTTAGAAAGCAAAAGTGTAGACCATCTATTAAATACTGTGGGCTATAGCCAGGGTTTAAGTTATCTATTCATTTCTGTGGTTAAAAAAAAAAAAAAATCAATACAGTATTAGTGTTCTTGCATTTCTTAAAGTGTAGTTGAATCCATACCACAGAAAATCCCAACATGATCCTATTGCACTCAGTTCACAGCCCCTGTTGGGGAAACATGGTAGAGAGATCTGTTCCACCGTACACAGTACCAAGCCTTTCTGGGACTGAACAAAGTCCTGTAGGTTTCCATGTGTTTCATGATGTACCTGCCAGGGTTATAATCACTTCTAAATGTTTTAGCTATGCAGAACAGCAGGATGTCAGGAGTGCCCCAAATTCCACACTGAAGGCAGGACCAGTTAAAAGGAAGGAAAACTAGATACCCCTAGGATTTTATCTCGGAACTAGAACGAAAACAGTAGTTCACAAGCTAGATCTTAAAAGTAACTAACGTTTTGTTAAAGATGTGTTTCTGTAATGCATTTAACATAGGACCATTTAAAAAGACGAGGAGAAAGAATTGCTTCCATTCTGTCCACTTTTTATTCCCCACATAGACCTTCACACGTAACACAATTCACTATGATGAGAAGCTGAAGTAGAACTTCACAGCTCTAATTTTTTAACTGACAAGCCAAAACAAAAATTTAAAGATCAACCAAATTTTACAATCCTAGATCCATGCTGACAACTGCAAGTGTAAGAAAAGCCTTCCCCCTAACAACTCCTCGTATATCTCTGCCTTAATTATCACAAGACATGGTTCAGAAAGAAAAACAGGCAAGTACCAGAAATTCCAGTCTCATCTAGTGTCTGCAGGTAACCAAAATAAGATGCACTGTACTGTGTGCTAGGTATCATATGCCACCTGATGGACTGGCATATGTTCTTTCTCCTCTTCCAACTGCTCACGTTAACACAAACTTCAAATGAAGTTTGGGCTTTTACAAAAGTTAACAGTGTCATCAAGTTTTGTGCCATTTTAGGCCCAAGCTCAAACACAGTCACTCTACAGCGGCTTTGTGGATTCTCAGCTTACCTGCAGTTTGTTCTATAAAAGAGAAATAACTATCTGCATAACAAAACACATCCAACAGTTTTACAGAAAAGCTTTTTTTTTGTCTTTGAAAGAAACTGGCATTCAACAGTTTATTATCCAAGTCTGATTGACATGTTTGATGACAAGCCAGTGTTACTTTTCACACTGGAAAAAACCCCAACAACTATGTTTGATTACTGCAATGACTCAAGACCCTTTCAGAACTCCAAACAGAAGCAAAGCTGTGCTATAGACACACAGCTCATCAAACGCTGCAGAACGCTACCTGGTTGACAATAGGATTTTTGTGAAAACTGTTGAGGTAACCCTGATAATTGCATCACCTGCAAGTATGATCTTCAGTTTTATTCATCTGGCTTTACTACACATTTAAATAAATAGCACCAAGCTTTTTAAGCCGGCTGCATCCTCGTTTGTCCGTTCAAGTTGAAACATTCAGAGTTTTCTTCTGAAAACATTATTTTTCTAGTGAGTGAAATAAAAGTGCACATTCAATCTCTAGTTGTAATGAAGAAAAAACAAAGAGATTTAGAAATCTCAAGATGAGCTTGTTGGCAAGGATCTACAGATCTAAAGTCTGGGTTCTTAATGTCTGGTAGTATTTTCTTCCTGCCTCCCACAGTCACTTCTTCCTTCTTCCTATATGTGGAAGAAACATTGCGAGAAACCTTAATTTAATGTGTAATGTGAATTTGGGAGGAGTAGGTTTTTGTGTTTTGTTGGCTCGTGCAAGAGTTCATTCCCCTGTTAGTCAGCTTTTCAGTATGACCTCACCACACTGATCACACTTGAGAGAACAGATACTTCTAGCCACAAAACTTCTGTTGCTCTTCAACATCTACCTTGACAGGTAGGAGGGAAATGAGCAACTCTCCTAAAGAAAGCCAGAAGAGGAAAGGATCCTAGAGATAAGTACATGGGAAAAGTAAAAAAAAATGCTCAAGATGAAAATTAATTCAATTTGCTTAGTTCCATAAGTTTCATCAAACCCCTCAGGTTAGCCATATATTTCTTTCTAGTATTTCCCACTTTATGAAAATCTCTCAGTTGTAATAGCTGTTATACTGGAAGCCTGAAGAAACACACTCACCAAAACAAACAAATCAGTTTCCCTCCATATGAGCTTCATGTATATATGTTCCATATCAACTATTCTTAAAAACCTAAGGCTTACACAAACTTGCTCGCTGCAGAAGTCTACAAGATTTAGTGAAGAGAGAAAAGGATAGAGGATTCCCGAGCTGTCAGCAGTACCCAAGCATAAGAACAGAAATATAGATACTGTACTATGGCCATGATTTCTGCTATTTCCAATTCCCAAATTTGTAGATCAATTTCATCGTTGTCTCTGAACAACTTAGTGATTCAGACATTTCCACTACAGGCACTTTACAGATCATTTCATAAAGGCCATGACATTAGGCATCTTAAGCCAACAATATGCAAGGTGTTTCAGGCTTACAGAGAGTCAATTTTTTCACATTTGTCAAGATCACATACTATTTGTAACTGCTACAAATACCTTTGTAATTAATTCCTAGTCAGTTACAGGAAAGAGATATTGCAAGTTCTCAGGAAAGAAGAGTGAGTGTAAGTGAGGTGAAAAGCTTGGTGAATACAAGGAAAAAAGGAGACACAACACCGGAAAAAAGACCAGAGCATCCGTTGGTTTTCAACCCCAACTTCATATTTGTCTAACTAGACAACAGTATTTGTCAGCCTCTGCAGCCACAGATCTTCAAATAGAGAGGCACAAAAAACCAACATGAGATTGTTAAGCCTTTCCCGTGCTGAAAACTGCTGGCATCAAAAAGCTGACTCCTTGCATCAGTGTTCATTTTTTTTTTTTTTAACTTACTAACATTTTAACCAGCATTTTAAAAAAAAAGAAAAAACAGGAAAAAAACCCCTTCCACCCACATGCTTGAAGTGAGCTCACATTATATAAGAGAGGAACAAATGAACAGTATTTAGACCTTCTGCAAGGAGGTTTATAGACAAGCTGTCGGTGAAATCAGATCACAGACAATCAATATATTCAAGTATCTGTTCATCTTCAACACCATTTAATAACTGCGGCATGCAGGCAACTTGAAGCTTGCCCCTTTCAGCATGGCACAGCCTCTAGAGGGCCAGGGGGCTGTTGAAAAAAGAAAAGTAGGCTCACAGGTATTTCAATCTAGGCACTAGTCTGTCTGAGCCTGTTCAGGTAAATCTCACTTACTTCATTCTCTATTAACTCCCCTCTTCAAAGTCCCCTTCTGTTTGTTTCCCCATCTAACCTCTGTGTGATGACCACATCCCACTCAGCACCTCTCCTGATCCCATTTGCTGGTCCCTCTCATCCCCGATTGTCTTTTCCCTTGTCATTCTTCACCACCTACACAC